TTTTAAAATGCCTATTCCAGATAGCATGTTCTAAACCAGATTATGAAGTCATTCAGGCGTAATGGACGGTAACAAACGTCTGATTGAAAACAAAGGTGCAACATGCAGGAGAACTCTACAACAATAATAATAATAATAATAATAATAATAATAATAATAATAATAATAATAATAACAATAATAATAATAATAATAGTAATAATAATAATAATAATAATAATAATAATAATAATAATAATAATAATAATAATAATAATAATATTGATGATGATGATGATGATGATGGTGGCGGTGGCGGCGGTGGTGGTGGACGCGGTGGTGGCAGCAGCGGCAATCACATATTAATGTGCATAAGGAGAAAATGTTGGTGCTGATTAACCATCCAGACGCGTGCACAGATCTAGATGAAATATACCATAGTGCCTTTTTTTTAATGTCTTGCAATTACTAGCATAGTTTGAGTACCTATTTATGTCCATTAAAATATCAAAAAGAAAAAATTGTACAGTAACACTAGTCTACAAAATGTTTGACGAGGATATGTCACACTACAAAAGTAACACATGCGAGAAATCATTCTAATTACAATAGTACCGTACAATGGAAAGGAAGAGAATATAGTATTTAGTATGCACTATGTAAGTGGAACATACTGTACCACCTCAGGGAGTGTGGCTGATAAAAACCTGTATCGTATGTTCTATAATTATAATTAGATAAAATATATTATAAAATGACCATGTTAATCACAAAATAATATATTCAGTTTTATTTTTACAGTTGTAGATTCAAGGGGAGGATGCCCTCCTCCCCCTCCCAATTTTTCAAAAAAGAAAATTGTATTCGAATTTTAAGACCAATAGTGGCATTTCCTGCAATTTGGGAGGTGCCATAATAATAAATTTTCTCACCTCAACCCCAACCATGGTGGGACTGAGGTAGTATAGACTCTCCATCTATGAAAGTCCCTTTCTGGGGCACCCTCAATTTCGAATTCCTGGATCATCCACTTGTTTAGAATATTAATTATATGGCAATACTTTGGCCGACTTCGCTTCACTGATTATCTAATGATATTTGGTGGATCAAGAGGGGCTGATGTTCAGCGATAGTCTCTACAAAGATGGGAAGGGTAATCTCGCGGAAATTATGTTCTCAAAATACACAGCACCTTTAAACACACTCACGGACTACAGTAAACGTTGGCATTGGTCACCTTGTACTTACTTAACCTTAATTTGGGATTAACGAACACTAAATAATTTAAAGTTATTTAAAGAAAACACTCTCACAAATGTGTGTTTCACCTAAATGTACCTTTAAATACCTTACAGGGGATGGAATAGAGCTCATACGGTCTCCCAATACCTATCTAACACTAACATGGAACAATATAGTGCATTAAATACGATTTAAAACTATTTAAAGGAAAAAAAACACTCTCTCGCGGAAATTATGTTATCACAACACTCAGCAGCTTTAAATACTCTCACAGGCTACAGTAAACATTGGCATTGATCACCTGGTACTTGTTTCGCAGAGTGCGAAATTTGATTTAGTATCTGGCGCCCCTAGTGTTTCTATCGGGGTTTCCATAGCCGTAGTAGTGAGTTTACCGAGTCAACTTAGCGTTGAATTGAGATTTCGTTTATAATGATATAAGTTAAGAGGTGCTAGACGTGAGTAATTAATTAACACATAGTAAATTCATATAGATAGAACATTGCAGATGCTGTTCCGTTATCCATGTTAATACCGTACTGTTGTAAGTTGGGCTAGTGTAGGTTTATTGCCACGCTAGTTTCACCCTATGGGATTAGTCTAGGGCTAACTACCTTTTGGCCGGAGTTAATTGATATCACGTGTGTAGATGGTGATGTACAATGTGTAGGCCTAAATACTAGCTCATGTTTACGATTTAAGTTTCCAGCTCACATATGTGATTGATTGCTTTTCTAGTAACACCTTATGTGGTACCGATTAATCAGATAATAACTACAGAAGAGTTGTCATTTTTTTATTTTGTTATGCTATAGTAAAATACATTGATTGAGATCGCGAGAGTATAACATGTAGCTGGAGTTGGAGGTGTTTAGTGCCTTGAATATGCATGTTTAGCTTATTTTTTGCATTTCTTTGAATGTTTTGTTTATTACAGGTTTTCGAACCTGACTGCTGGTGCTTGTTTGAAAATAAAGCAAACCGATTAATTTATGCTGACTCCTGTCATTCATTATTCAAACGAAACATTCGAAAACGTCAGCTCAACCAGCTGAAGAGAGTAACAAACTAAAGGGAGGTAAGCAATTTTGCTACTGAACCTATAGATAAAACATATCATGGAGGATGCAAAGAGAGCACGGAGAGCATGCAAGAGAAACTTTGTGAGTCAGGCTGACTCATTAAGTTCGGCATTGGCACAAAAAATGTTTACTGGCTATATTGAGGAACTAGATGCAGAGTTTAAGGAGTGCTGGCGTAACCTTCGTACAGCTCACGATGCGGTGATCAACAAAGTAGAGGAAGAAGAGGATGAGGATGAGGAAGATAAATGGTTAGATGAGTTTAGAGACATGTATAAGGAGATGCGAAGGATATTTCATGAGGTGGGAACCAAAGAGTCTAAGGCGAAAGTAGTGACTACAGAACCTCGTATGCAGTTGAAGAAAATGGAGCTCCCTAAATTTAATGGGGATGTAAAGCTATATTCGAGATTTAAAGAGGACTTCCAGAGGTTTGTGAAACCAACGACACATAGTGACCAGTTATCGTATACATTGAGAAGTTGTTTAGGTAGTGAGCCAATGAAAGTTGTTATGCCGGCGGAGGACAAGATTGAAAAGATGTGGAAGAGGTTAGGCGACAGATATGGTAATAGATCAAAGCTGGTGGATGTAGGTGATTTGGTGAAGCATGGAGCGGTAAAGGAGGGTGAAGATAGAAAGTTGGTGGAATTCATCGATCTAGTGGAGGTTAGCTACCGAAATTTGGAGAGAGCTGGCTTGGAGAAGGAAATTGCCAATTCTCGAGTGGTTGGAGAAATAGAGAAGAAATTACCGGACGATGTGTTTAAAAGATGGGTACGACACATACATGATGAGAAAAATAAAATCGGAGAAACTGAGAAGATGTCTAGTTTATTGAGTTTCTTGGAAGAGGAAAGGAAGAGTGTAGAATTCTCTATAGAGAGTCTGCGTAGCTGCCATATCACAAGCCAGCGTACCAAACCAACTGCATCAGTGCATACGACTGATGTTCGTGAACCACTACTAGCTATCAGTTGGTGTCTGATCCACGATAGTGCCCAGCACACGACAGAAGACTGCAGAGCATACCTGGCAAAAGCTGTGAGTGACAGAATACAACTAGTTAAGGAAAAGAGAGCATGTTTCCGATGTTTGAAACCAGGTCATGGTGTATTTAAATGTAAGAAAGGATACTGTGGGAATGATGGTTGCCAGAGAAAATACCATCCATCTAATCACTTTCAACAGCCCGAGAAGCCAAGAGAGGTGAAACAGAATGGTGCGGTTTTTAAGCCTGGAGGTTGTATGCTGATGGCGATTGCTGTTAAAATGGGACGAAGCTTAACACAATATTTGATAGTGGAGCAACAGCATCAATAATAACACATGAGGCTGCAAAAAGAGTTGGTGCTAAAGGAGATCATGTAGAGATAAAACTAACCAAGGTAGGCGGAGAAGAAAACGTAGTAGAAACAAAGTTGTACGACATACTATTGAAAGACAGAAGTGGAGATATTGTGAAGGTTAAAGCATATGGTATGGAGAGCATTACCAGTGACTTAAGAGTTCAGGATGTCAAGCGACTAGCCGGTTTACTGAAGGTGGATTGGAGGACAGTTGATAGACCTGTGGGCAGAGTAGAGCTGTTGATCGGCTTAGACTACGCCAATCTTCAACCCCAGAAGATAAAGGTGCTTTAACTCCGATGACCAATTTATTATTGCCAATTTAATTAACAAACATCTTTCTAGTTTCTCACAGCTACAGGATCCAATAAAAACTGAATGTTTACCGGCATATTTACCTAGCCCAGTGCCACCTCCCTGCTTCAAACCATGGGAAATCTATAAAGACTTGCGTAAGACCAAGCTGAGTAAAGCGGGTGGACCAGACAACATCCCTCAAAAGGTATTAAAAGAATGTGCTTATGAACTAAGTAAACCAGTTACTGATATAATAAATGCATCCTTTTCCCAAGGTGTGGTCCCCCTGCAGTGGAAATGTGCTAATGTAATACCCATTCCAAAGGAACATTCAGCCGCCATTGATAAGCTAAGACCGGTATCTCTCACACCCACCTTGGCTTAAATTGCAGAGAGTAAAATTGCTAAACTAGTAAATAAAGCACTAAAACCTGTTTTAGACACTCGCCAGTTTGGAAATCAGTAGCGTGTGTCAGCTACACATTGTTTAATTGATATTTATCATCACATCTTGAGTGCGTTGGAAAAGCCTGCTAGTACCAGCGCCCTGGTTC